AGCAGGGCGCTGCCTGCAGCACAGGCTGGAAAACATCCAAGTGAAAACCTGAGACACCGCTGGCTTCACCAGCTGGGAAGAGATGGCTAAACTGGTAACAGCATCGAGAGCCTGTCTGCAGTGAAGAGAAGTGAGGCAGGGGGGGTTTATCTACTTTCATGACAAAATTATTTCATACAAAAAGGAAACTGCAGGTAGGATCCAGCCTGCAGACTCCTACAGCTACACTGAGGGTTCTACCTGCAGATGTCACCAATGGGCCACCAGCCAGTGGAGCCCAGAGAGCAGCTCTGCCCTCCTTCAAGAAAACACACCTGAGCAGGCAAACAGGAACAGGTCTACACAGCCCACAGCAGAGACTTGGACATGTTGTTTATATGACAGCATTTACATTCTGGAGTCTCAGCCTGAGAGCTGAATCTTACAGTTAGTGTTCAACACTGTATCAAAGCAGAGTTAAGACTGCCTGATGGTCTATTCTGCTCTACTCTGGAGCAATTAATTCAGCACTACTCCACTGCCCAAAAATTGGGCAACCAAGAACTTAGGTACCTACCCAAATATCCTTACTCTTACCATCTTTGATTATGCTTCAGTATTCTCAAAATGCACAAACTCCTGTTCCACTTTGAGCTAATCAAGAACTGCTTAACCCCTCTCTCCATCCTGCTCCTCAGGTGACCCACAGCCCTGACTTTTGCACAAGTGCTCATCTGGTTTCACATACATTTTTCTGCCACAACCATCTTGTCCTGCCCTTTGACAATGCACCTCCATTTGCTGGTGTTAAATTCACAGACCAGGCTCATCTCTTCCATTCCTCATCTGCTACTGGTCCAACCTGCACATACGGCGTGGAAAGGAACCTGCTCAGTTGTTACAAGTATGTTTTTATGATCCTTCCTTGGCTCAGGGCCCTGAAGAAATGTCATCTGCTTCCTCCAGCTCCCACGTGTGGTGATGTTGGTGCTGTACCAGGCACAACACCGTGCCATCAGCACTGTGCCCAACAACAGGAAAGGTATGGTTCAGGGAAGGTACCCTTGCCTCCTCCTGCAAATGCCCCAAAGCCCCACCACCACCCAGGATTCTCATCTTTTAAGTTATCCCCATCCATGCAGACCACCATCCACTGGCAAGACCCCCTTTCCTGAACAAGCTTGTAGTGTAGCCTGCCAAAGCACAACATTAATCCAAGCACCAGAGACAGTCTGCAAGCTGATGGCAGATGAACCTTTGCCTGGTTTCAGCCCAGATACAAAACTTGAACCAGCAAACTGGATGACCTCTTCTCATGTGAGCTTGATCCCTGCTGGGTTTCATTAAAGTTTGCAGGCAGACAACCAGATCCTGGCCTGAGACTGAGCTAACTGAACAGAGCACAAGAAACTCCTGGACAGGACAGAAACACCTGCAGAAGGTAACAAATAACAGAGAAGCTGATGAGTCACAAACAGCACCATGAGGAATGGCCAGATTTCACCAGTAGTTAAGGGGGAGTCACTCACACACAAAGCCTTCCCAGTTGGTGAGGAGCATAAGAGGGCTGGAGCAGCTCTGCTGTGAGGACAGGCTGAGAGAGTTGGGGCTGTTCAGCCTGGAGAAGAGAAGGCTCCAGGGAGACCTTCTAGCGACCTTCCAGTACCTGAAAGGTGCCTGTAAGAAAGCTGGGGAGGGACTTTGGCCAAGGGCAGTTAATGACAGAACAAGGGGTGATGACTTGAAAGTGGCAGAGGGGAGATGGAGATGAGATGTGAGGAAGAAATTCTTTGCTGTGAGTGTGGTGAGCCAGTGTCCCAGGTTGGCCAGAGAAGCTGTGGCTGCTCCTCCCTGGAAGTTTTCAAAGCCAGGCTGGATGAGGCTTTGAGCAACCTGGTCTAGTGGAAGGTGTCCCTGCTGCTGGCAGGGGGGTTGGGACTGGATGAGCTTTAAGGTCCCTTCCAACTCAAACCATTCTATGATTCTATGAAAAGGAGCCAGATACCAAAAAGGCCATAGATCTGTGACAGACACTGGGAAGACTGGAGAGCTCTGCAAGTTGGTTACTTGAGGGACCAAAGATTGAAGCCAGCTTCTGGGAAGCCTTGTTTATGTGTGGGTGTGACCTTACGCCTTGAGCAAGAACAGCTAGAGGAATGGCAGCCACAGCAGTGACACCTTCTCGCTGGAGGTAGTCTGAGGCAAGAACCACTTGTGTGCACACTGTCCTCTGCACAATCACCACCTGCTAGCCACTGCTGGAGACACGACACCAGATGGGCCTTCTTCCTGATGCAGCACCTCTGCTGTGTAAGACAGTTCCTGCGCAGTGCAAGAGCCTATGGCCTCTCAGACTTCTTGCCAGGATGCACTCGCACAAGATTCCATCTCCAAGGAGCGATCACTGCTCATCCTGACTGTAGTGGTACAGGCAGGGCCTGCAGGATCAACGGCAAGCACCCATACAGAACACCCCCAGCACCTCAGATGGTCCTAGATATCCAGGAGGGCACAGCCTGATGCCCTTAGAAAGCTCTTCACTGGCTCTGCTATTAAATCCTGCTATTAAATTAAAGCTGGTGTGTGACTGTTCAGTCCAAGAGTGGAATGACTCAAAAGCAGCCGAGAATGGGAGAAGCTTTTTCTTCCTTGCAGTGTGGTCTCCTCAGGCTGCATTCCTGTGGACCCTCTGGTATTTACTCTGGTCAGTCCCCTCACCCTTGCAGGAGCTGTGCACTGAGCAGTGGAACTTCATCTCTTCCCTTGCAGCAGTGCAAAGAGAAATGACGAGCAGGGAGCAATTGCAGGTCTTACCTTATCTACTCTGTCCTTCTGGATCCCGTAACGGCCCCCGAACCCCTTGGCATAGTCTGTACGGGAAAAATGAAGGTATTTTACAATATTTGATATTCTGGGTACACCAGACTTCAGTATGCTGTGACTACTGAAATGAGTTTTCTTATCACATATGGAACTAAATACAGATAATAGATGCAAAATGCTCTGGACAGCAGATTCTCAGACGAATGCTTCATTCCTTTCAGTGAAGTGCACAGATGCTCAGTGCTGTACGCTGGCAAAGCTGCTTCCAAGGGACTGGGGTGAGAAGCCAGTCCTGCCATTTCAGTGCAATGTCACCCTGTTCACTGAAGTTAAACAGAGTAGTCAAGCCACTCCTGGAACCTGCTTCGCCTCACTCCCATGTGCTCAACTTTTGAAGGAGCTTCTGATTAGGAATGTACCTCACAGCGAGAGCACAGCACAGTCTGGGAAGCCCGACTTCAGGGACTTGCCTCCAGTGTCCCCGACTGATCCAAGCAGGCACCTACTCTGGCAGAGTTTACCCTCGTGCTGTGGTGGTTCACAATGTCCCAGATGCTCCACAACGTGCTGTACACATTCAGTTTTCAGCAGCTGGAGCTCTGTCAAGTATGAACCACTTGCTCTGTGTGTCTGTGTGTGTGTGTGCTCCAAGGAAATTGTGCTGCCACCTTTGTCAGCGTTGCCCTACCTGTTTGGGATGCGTGGGGTTGCACTTCCTCCTGATGGTCCCAGCCAAGGGCACTCTTGTCCTGACGATCCCTCTGGACCCCAAACTTCCCACCAAAGCCCACAGCATAGTCTTCAGCCACAGGAATCCCAACCATGGCATGGAAGAAAACAGACAAGGGAGGGAAAAAGAAAAGTGGCAGCACTGTGAGCTAAGGCTCAGGCTCTCACAGGGGCAATAGTTTTTCCTGCCCAGGACTTAGAGAAAGACATGGAGCAAAGCTAGATTTCCCCACTGGTGGCTGCAGCAACAACCCTCCCTAGGACATGTCACCCGTTGTTAGCCCCTGCCTGGGCTTCCCCTGCACCCTTCCTTCGGTGACATACTGCCCAGGAGATCCCTGTGCCCACAGAAACCTGCTGCTCCTCTTCATTTAGCCTGAACTGTTTACAGCAGTCATGCACCGTGCAATGGCTTCCCCACCTGCCCCACTCCCCTGCTGCAAGCAGCGGGCACCTGGCAGCTCCCCGTAGCTTTTCCACCACTCATGCTGCAGGCTGCAAAAATCCCCACAGCCCCACTGGGCACAGTCCCAGGCTCCAGTCCTGACCCTTCCTGCTGCATTGGGCTCCCCAGCTCACCTTTCTGAGAGTCGTGCTTCTCTGCCTGGCCCTTGTAGTCAAATCCCACCGCTGCTTTGTCCACCTTGTCCTTCTCCACACCATAACGGCCACCAAAGCCCCTGGAGTAATCTGAGGTGATGCATGGAGTGAAATGCTGCCCTGAGCATAGGGCTGGTGAGGGGACACTGGGCAGGAGCACCAGGGAGGAGGAAGAGCAGCAGGGATGATGGAAAACACTACAAAAAGCAAGGAGTTTGGAGAGGACAGAGTGGATGGCAGGGAGCACCACGAGGGTCATTGAGGATGAGGGTCCATGGGAAGGGCTGCACAGGGCAACTGTGGGTCAGGGGAGCAAGTGAGCCTGAGGGCAGCAGGAGACACCGCAGTCTGAGAAGGCAAGGAAGCAAAGTGACGTGCCAACGGCAGCTGGGGAGGCAGGGGGAGCTGCAAGGACACAAAGCCAAGGCAAAACCTGGGCAAAACCTGGGCACTGACAGTCTGGGCATCCCCCCAGGATGGATTTCAACCTGTGGTTGGCTGGTCTGTGAATAAGTATATTGAGCTTTTGAAATTACAGAAGAAATGACAAACTTTTGCTGCATGGCTCACATCTGCTACTGTGGAATATTACTTCTACATGGAAACCACTGACTCTGGATGCTGCAGCAAAGGCTGAAACCCACGTTTCTGGAGACGTGCTCCAGCTCTCCCCCCAGACTGTCTCTGGCATGCTCAACCACTATGTGATAGAGGCACAGTACATCTTCCTTACGCCTCCCCTTTTTCCATCCTCTAAGCTAGTAATGTATTAACTACTTGTTCAGTTCTTCTTTCCCTGGCAATGCAGCATTCCTCACATTTATCTGAAACAGTAACAGACACTGCCCTCTCATCTTCTCTTGGCTGCAGAATATTTAAAATATCTTTAGTTTCAAGTCTTGCAATCTTCTTAATGAATACAGCTGTCTGTACACACATGTCAAAGTTTGGTGGAATCACGTCCAGAATTGCAAAAGTTTGGGTGCTGTGTAGGCTTTTGTTTCCATATCCATTGTTGTGCCTTTTCTTATATGCTACTTTTTCAGAAATCACTTTTCACATCCCACAGTGCTTGGGCTCCCTCTGGAGCAGATGCTCAGAAGGAATTCTAGAGGAAAAGGAGCACCAGTCATCCATCAGGGGGGTGTGAGGAGGTGTCTTCTCTGCTCAGTCATGACGTGGTTTCCATCAAAGCAAAACGCAGAGACAAGCGGGATGTACAACAGACGGGTGGTGAGAGGACAGCAGGGAATGGGGCTGCAAGGGTGACTGACTGGCAACAGGAATCTGAAACAAGTGACAGGAGGGGGATAACAAAGGAGACTGTGCCACAGCAGACAGCACAGGATATTGGGAGCAGAAAAGGAGCTGGGCAAAGTGTCAAGGGGCCACATGTGCCCATGGACTTGCCTTTCTGGGACGAGTGTTTCTCCACCTCACCCTTGTATTCAAAGCCCACTGCTGACTGGAACGAGAAGGGGAGGAACATCAGTTTTGAGGGCCAAGTCAGGTCGCACCCACCCTCCACCAGCAGCTGGGCTGGGACCTGGCTCCCTGTCTTCTGCTGCAACATGCAGGCACCTGGCCACTCCTCGGTTGGTACGGGCGTCCTCAGCCTCTCACATCAGCCCTGCTGTCCAGGAGCAGGCCCTCCAAAGAGCCCGTGCACTCCAGGTGAGAGGGCCACAACCGTGACCCCACACCCTGTCAGCAGGCAAGGCAGCATCTGCCACCAGGATGTGGATGGGAAGGACGGGATCCTGCTGTCCCCATCCAGTCCTGCCACAGCCAGTCGCTGTGCATGGCACAGCCTGAGGGTTTGGAGATACAAAACACCACAGCCCCCAAGACAAACACAGTGCTGCCAGGGTAGGAGAGTGCAAGCACATTAAGGCACACCAGAGGGTTAATATTCACAAGTGCCCTGCAATTTGTCATTAGTCACTGTCCTGCACGAAGGAGGTGAGCTGCTTGCTTCAGTGGAGACCGTGGTGCACGGCACAGCTAGACCTGAGCCCACCAGAGCTTTGAAAACTGCAGCCACAATCTGAAGTGTTTCACAGTACCTTAGGGGCAGCAAGTACATGTCTCAGCTGCCCTGTCCAACACACCTTGTCAGCTCGATCCCGCTGGACTCCATACTTTCCCCCAAAGCCCTGGGCTGCATCGGTCTGCGAGGAGTGCTTCCCAACATCAGCAACGTACTCATGGCCCACTGCGCACTGAGAGGAGAGACAGCGTGATGTGAGCACCACTCAGACTGACAGGATGGACAGAGGCACCACACAGCTGCTCTGCCCCGCTGCTCAGATGCTCGTACCCATGAGGTGACAGGTCCAAACTGGCCATGCTGGTGGCAGCGATGCCTTCTGCACAGCCTGTGCCAGTACCAGCTCTGCTCTGAGACCTGTGATGCAGCTGCAAGGGCAGCCACCCCACACAGCCAGCCCCGCTGCCAGCTCATCGTGCAAACAGTGGGATGCTGAATACCTGCTGCTCCCCAACGCCAGTGGAGTAGTGGATAATCACATGGGGACACAGGTAGGCATGCACGACTGAAAACCCACAGGCAGCAGCTCTGGCACCCGCTCCGTTCTCTGTGTCTGAGAGCAAGGGTCAGCAGACTTGGCTGGGATCACCCTTTACATCTACTCAGGGTCCCACCCTTTACTGCCACTCAGGGTCCCACTGTTCCCTGCAGGAGGTGGTGTGGCCAGGAATTGCACCCACTCAGGAGAAGGGCCAGAGGCTGAACACTTGTAACATCACGATAAGACTGAACGAAGGCCGAGGAGCTGCTCAACAGAAACATCTTCACTCTGCTTTGGCGGAAGGGACTGAGCATGGCTGCTGTATTTTGGCCTCCTGGAAATGTCTGTTTCTCACCCTGCCATCCTGGTACCACGTACACCCACAGTGTCCCCATATATTGGGAATACTACTGCAATCTTACCATCTCACTTCTGAAAAAAGAGAAGTTTTAAATGTTGCAAGGTACAGGAAGAAGTGTGATGATGCTTATCAGAAAACAGATTTGATCTAGAGAACAGAGAATGCGAACTAGGGCTTCATCCTGGGGAGATGTGACAGAAGCCTATAATGGAGGATGTGAGGAGGGAATTATTCATTAGTTCTCCAAGCACAAGTATAGGGAGATACTTAATTTAATTGTTAGGCAGCAGGTTTGAAACAAGCTACAGAAAGTTCTTCTTCACAGCTAACAGGAGTGCTGCAAAGAAATGGTAGAGACAAATTATAGAAATGGGTTCAAACAGATCCTGGATGCAGATTATGGTCCAGCTAGCCATGTGTGAATCCTCGCAGCCGTGCCACCCCTCCATTCTCTCCCTTCATGGTCAGGCCAGAAAAAAGGGATGCTTTTTCCTTTATGAGAAAAAAGACTTTTCCACTGGGGCCCAAGGAAGACCTCTACAACTGTTACCTTATCCATCCGGTCCCGCTCTGTTCCAAATTTGCCTCCATAGCCATAGGAGGCCTTGGGGCCAGTCTCCAGCTCCTTCTTCTTGATGACCTCATGTTCCTCCGACACCTTGCTCCTCAGCTGGTGAATGCTGGTGAGACAGAGACACTCAGGGCAAGTCACCGGGGGACTGTGCAGACCCACGCAGCCGGCTGGAGCCCAGCACAGAGCAGCACATAAACCCACCGCC